TTCTCGCCGGGTTCCTTCCGCCGGGCGCGATGGAGCCGGGGCGCGGGGCGGCCACCTCGCTGCTGGTGCTGCTGTGCGCGGGCTGTGCGCTGCGCTCCGGGCGCGCCCAGTACGAACGCTACAGCTTCCGTAGCTTCCCCCGGGACGAGCTGATGCCGCTCGAGTCGGCCTACCGGCACGCGCTGGACCAATACAGCGGCGAGCACTGGGCAGAGAGCGTGGGCTACTTGGAGATCAGCCTGCGGCTGCACCGCCTGCTGCGCGACAGCGAGGCCTTCTGCCACCGCAACTGCAGCACAGCGCCCCAGCCCGATTCCCCCGCCGGCCTCGCCCGCTACCCTGAGCTGCGCCTCTTCGGAGGCCTGCTGCGCCGAGCGCACTGTCTCAAGCGCTGCAAGCAGGGCCTGCCAGCCTTCCGCCAGTCGCAGCCCAGCCGCGAAGTGCTGGCTGACTTCCAGCGCCGCGAGCCGTACAAGTTTCTGCAGTTCGCCTACTTCAAGGCAAGTCCGCCCCGCCCCGCGGCCCGGGCCCGCCTGTGCCCCGCCCCTAGGCTCAAGACCCGCCCCCTCCGTCCTGGGTTGCTTTCCACCGCCTTTTCTTACCCAGGCTCTCTACCGCCCAGCCCTGTCAAAAGGACGCATCCAAATCCTGTACCCCCTTCTTGATCTTAAACAGAGATGATAATACTTTTCCTGAAGAGCTGTTCTGAGGCAGTGAATACGTACATAGAACATCTAGCGCTGTATCTGGCCCCCAACCAAGCCTGATATTTGTTACCTGTTATTGGAAGACAGACTCCTCTTTTCAATATATTCCATTAAAGTCCCCTTCTCTCAAGTGAGTGGTGACTTTCAATAATAGAGCAGAAACGGGCCTGAGGAGCTGGTTAGTCTCTTTTAAAAATGAGGTAATCGAGGCCAGGAAAGGGCAGGGACTGGTTGGGAGGACACATCTCTGCCTGGAAGAGCAGAACTTGTGCACTGTGATTCATACTTGGCGCTGTCATCTAGAATTTAACAGTTGTCTTCCTCCTTTTGTGGCCACTTAGGTTCTGTCTGTGATGCTGGCTAAAAATAGCCACAAATTGCAGTTCTTTATCCTTTGAGTCCTTATTCTGGGGACCCACACGTTTTAAGCATGGGCTGAATTCTCTGTTACTGGATAAAGAGGCTTTACCTGGGCGGGTCTTCACTGGGTTTTGCCAAGAGAGCCCTCTCAAAGTCCAGTTGCTACTTTATCTAATTGAAAACGATTTTTAAAGTAATATATTGCATTTATTGTAATGACTACAAAAAAATAGTTTCATGGCATATGCCAGACTTTGGAGGTAGAAGTTGTTTTTTGTTTTTTTTTTAAACTTGGCTTTTAATCTCTGGGCAGCAAGATCTGTTTTTCATATTTCCGCTGAAACAGCCACGTGTATGTTGCATTCATATGAGCAATAAAATAGCATAAAACCCCAAATAGAAAAACTGGGTTTTGTCTTTGCTTAGGTACAGCCTTATATAAAGTATCAGTTTTGTCCTGGCAATAAAATCCCTCTCCCCCCAAAAAAAACAAAAACAAAAAACAGTTTTAAAATAGAACCAGAGATAACATTAATAAATTTCCAGGACGTTGAGAAATGATGGCTTGGCTCATACAAGCACTATGTTTTAAGCTAATTTTAATTAGCTTGTTTAATTTTCTCTCTTTTTTGTATAGCTTTTGGCAAATACAATGAGAATCAAATTTGAGTCACATAATCAAGGAGGAAACATTTTATTTTTAAACCTTGAGAATAGTAAAATCTCTGATTTTTTTAACATGCAGATGAATTTGAAACAAGTGACATAGGGAGGAGGGGAAGATCATTTTACGCAATGTGACCCTAAGTCATGAGTTTTCTCCTTCATTACGGCATCCTCAAAGGTTAGGAAGTTGGTGGCTTTTCTTTGAAACCCTTTATAGGTTTTGTAACAATCACTTACTTAAAAGTCAGTAAAATACCATTTGTTTTAGTATTTTGAAATCTCTTATAGGACAGAAAAAAAGTTAAGAATTTTATTTAAATAAAACCCAGAATTCGTCCTGCCAAATGGTGTGTTGGTTAAGAGTTGGCTTGGGGGCCGGCCGAGTGGCGCGATGGTTAAGAACTGGCTTGGGACACCAGAGGGCCCTGGTTCGGATCCCACATGTGAGGGCTAGTGACACTGCCCTCCACAGCTAAGATGCTGAACAACAGCTCAACCTGGAGCTGGGCTGCAGTGAGTCGCCAGCCACCGCATAGGTTGCAGCCCCTGTGGCAGTGGGTTGCCATGGGCTACCGTATGTAGCCAGCAGCCAGCGTGATCGGCCAGCAGCCCAGTGAGCAACCGTCCAGAAGCCAGTGACTGATCTGCCTCGCCCGGGAAGAGCGCAATGATGGTGCCAACTTGGGCCAGTGAAGCAACGTCCTCCACAACTAGACT